CAAAAATTCTTGAAGTCTCTGCCAATCTGAATAACTGAACTGATTGATATTTTCAGAAGCTTCTTAGTCGAAGCGATAGGAGCGGTTTCGTGTCAAGAACAAAAATTGTAAAAAGAAGCAAAAAGTAAAAAAACACAACAAAATAAAAAGGAACGAAAGAATAAAATTCACACGCACGAACTATTTTAGAGATTTATTTTTGCGAATGCTTATGCGCGTGTACGTGTACAATTGTGCTATGTGTGTGACAATGTATCATTAAATGTGTCTACACGTATGCGTACGTGAGATAAGAAGAGCAAGATGTGAGAAAACAAAAGTAAATAAAAAAAGCGAAAACATAAAGTGAACACAAAAATGTTCCGTCATCTGTTATTCAATTAGTATTGATTAATTCAATACATTCTATACATGTATACATTTACGTAGCATTATAATTTTATGACTTATTGTAACGGTATGAGTGCGATAAAGTTGCAGTTTTTGCTGACATGAAGACGCGCAGCAGCAAAAGAAATACATGTAACAAATTACTGTAATTATAGTATTTATAGTACCAGCATAAGTAGTTTATACGTTATCAGAAAGATATAAAATCTATACAAATTTCATGTGATAAAAATCAAATTTCAAAAGTTTATTGTTTTCAATATAAAAAAAACTTTGATTAAGTAACTTTCAATTTCATGATTTTCAATTAGCTTCTTGTCATTGGCTGCTTCTTTTTTATTGTCTCTATCACCATTTCCTCTTTGTATCGCATGACCGTGTGATTTTACTCACACTTTAAAACTTTACACCGCTTTCTGATATCACTATTCGAACATTTTACTATTTAACGATTGACCATCATGCAATTGGTATTATTTTAAAGAAAAACAGCGTATAAGATACGTATACTAGAATGTATACATATTTATATTTGTATCTATTCATAAATCTATTGTACTCTTAAGGTGTATATCCGTTCACCTTATGCTCATTAATATTTAAGGATAAAGACTATGTAGTTATATCTCTAACCCATATAGTCATTGTAAAAACTAAATAAC